AGCACGAACGAGTGAAGCTGCTGCCAGGTGGGTGGGGGGAGGGAGGGGTAGCGGATGGTGGTAGACTGCTTAGTGGGCCTGGAGGGGGGCTGGGGTTTGCTCGAGTGGTGATAATGAATTCGTGGATGATCCTCCGGTGCTACATTAACTTGCGTGCACATGCACCTACACATAGATACAGACACACATCCACACATACCCGCGTACGACACCGTAGAGTCGAAGCTGACCAGGTGCGGGAGGCCGTCGTACTTGGCGGTTGGATCCACCGGAACTAGAGAAGAAACCACGGGCAACGCGTCCATGGCGCCGCCGTCAACCTGTACGACACAGTCCTCTCATACTAGGCTGTCGTACATCTTTCACATGATGAAAACAGGTTGCTTACTGTATCACAGCCACATGACGTAATGCGCGCGTGCGTGGATTTACTGACAGACGGGCATACAGACATACAGACGGACATACAAACCTGTCTTTTGAGGTTAGCGGGGAAGGTCTGGGGGGGTGGGTTATCCTCCTGGGGCGCAGGTTGAGCGGCCAAATCGATATACATACGGATCAACTTCTCTGCCTGCGGGCGGTGGTAGTGGGAGGAAGGAGGGGGGAGGGAGCGGGGGGAGGAGATGAAGGAGGGGGAGATGTGTTTGTGTGGGTCGGGCTGAAAGGACAGCGGTAGTAACGGGCAGTAAGTGACAGCATCAGCAGTAGCAGCAGCACCAACGGCAGCACCAACGGCAGCAGCAGCAGCAGTCCCGGGTGGGGGAGGCGTGTTAACGACCGCATTGGGGAAGTGTGTGTGTGTGTTGTGTTTGAATGTGGGAGGGGAAAGTGGGACGTGATGGCACGTTCAGCCATGTTGACTTGGAAGTCCGGAAAGCACACCCCGATGTACGGTCCGCTAGGGGGTGCAGCGCTCGTGTACAGTATACATCACATACACGCATACCCATACCCATACACACACACACACTACCCCCAAACACCCTCCCCCTCTTCATATTAAACCCTTCCCCCTTACACACATACACACACAAACACACAGATACACCTGCTTCACAATGACCGCCACCCGGCCCCCCCGCGCCACCAACTGCTGAAGGAGCGACTCGGCGGCCTTGATCTGTTGTACAGCCGTACGAGTGTACGGCGCAGCGGTTCATGGGAAAGGGGGAGGAAATCAATACACACTTGGCGTCAGCTGGGCGGACCAACACAATACATCACTTTGTACAGATAGGTGGACAGATAAACAGCCAGGCAGACTCCCGCATTCCGCGCTACTCCCCCCCCACGGCCCGATACCTCCTCCCGGGCCCCCGGGGGGCCCCCCACAACCCACCTTGCTCACATCCACCACCTGCACGAACCCAGCCGCGTCGGCTGCGGCCTGCAGTCGACCCATCTTGTCCAGGTTGCCATTCCGCAACGCGAATAACTTGTAGATGACGTGGAAGGGGTGCTCGCATGCAAGACGGAGAAGAAGAGACTGCAACACCTGCACGAGCGCGTGTGCGTGTGCGTGTGCATGTGTATTTGTATATCTATATGTATGTATATCGCGGACATGTACGGCGAGTAGGTGGGAGAAAGCCAAGGCCGGATGAGGAATCTTGTCACAGTTGGTGACAGTTGGCGGCAGTTATAAAAACACATCATTACTCCGGCGGGGGGGCTTATGGGCAAAAGAGGGCGCCAGGGAGGGGCAGGGGAAGGACAGGATGGGAGGCGGGGGAGGCGGGGGAGGCGGGGGAGGCGGGGGAACGTCCCTGGCCGCCAGGTTGGATGTTTCGCCCCCCGCCACCACTTCCCCTCCTTGCCCCCCTCCCCCGGTGCCATGATCTCTGTCCTGGTGTTCCTTGTACCCACCCACCCACCCTTTTACAGACCACTGCTGATATGTGAAAAGTAAATACCATCCCGCTGCTAGTGCAGCTACTGCTAGTGCAGCTACTGCTAGTGCAGCTACTGCTAGTGCAGCTACTGCTAGTGCAGCTACTGCTAGTGCAGCTACTGCTAGTGCAGCTACTGCTAGTGCAGCTACTGCCACTTGCCCTCTGAAATGTCTCAGCCGGCGGTGCTGCCGACAGCCGTGAAGCCATCTGGTAAACCAGCGGAAGCCACTTGTACGACGGTACGGCCGCTGTTGCCTGCGCAAAGGCGGTGCTGACGTCTTCTCCGTCCGCCGGCTGTAGCCACATTTGGCAAAGGCGGTACACGGCTGCCAGGTCATGGCGATCGCCTGATCAGGACAGAACGGGGACACAGCGGACAAGTAAATAATTGGTCTTTTAATCTCGTGGGGCAACATGGATATGTATGTATGTATGTTGTTACAGGGTGATTAACTTCGCCATGTATGTACATGTACATGGATATGCAGCGTAATCACATGACCCGGACAACCTGAAAAATGGTAACACGCCTCACGTACAAACCCTGCATCGACACACACACCACCACACCACATCGTCAGAATCACCACCCTTCATCCCGGGGGGGTGTTGGCCCCCCCCGGGAGCCGTTCAGCTCGGGGCACAGGGTGGTGCGGGGTAGGCTCGACAGCTCCCCCTTGCCCCCTAGCCCCCTGTCGCCCCTGTTCCCGTCCTGGACAGCTGTACACCCGGGGAAACACTTTGAGACATCCTCTAGTTACGCCCTCCCTGAGGCATGTGGGAATGTGCCTGGTGGTGAAGAAGACATGGCACGCGGCCAGAAATTGTGTTTGATCAAAAGGTTAATACGTGTATCCAGTGTATCATATTAATGATTAAAGCCCGCATAAATAAAATTGGATTTTCATATTCTAGTTCTATTGTATCGTTTCGATTACATTTTTTCAAAATCCAACCATTTGCTTTGAACTTTTACATATCATGTGAGTGAACGGCGGTACAGATGGATTAGGTTTCTGAACTACCTGATTATGACCGTCGGAGGACTGCTGCTGCCGGTGGCCATGCGGCTAGCCGCACCACACCGCATCACCATCCGAAACATTTGGTCGCCATCATCAGCAGCAGCATTTCTTTCAGGCCAGCACGTGGAGCGCATCTTTCCATGCTAGGCATTGATACAGTAGGTACGGCGACTACTGACACACAAACACCAATACACACACACCAATACATACACACCAATACACACACACCAGTACACACACACACCAAACGGCTCCCGTCCCACCCAGCCAAACCCGCGACCCACTCACCCGCACACAAGCACCTCCCATAGTTGGCAATTGCCGTACTCCGTAACGCCAACAGCGCGGAGCGCAGCGCGGCATCAGCCTCCTCGTCAGCCTAACCGAAGATAGCGGTTAGGACAGTTGTTACGGGAGTTCGTTGGAAGCAATCACAATCCGCAAAGTTGCGCAACAAATTAACAAAGCCATGTGACATCGTTTGGCACGTCAAGACGCACATACAGACATACACATAGCTAACACAGCAAGGGCGGTATGTCAAGCGCGTTTTTTGTGATGTGTACTTTCAAGAGTACGGCACGATGTACGGCAAAGGAGACCCACTAAGGAGTTTGCAGCCTCCCTCCCGCTGTACCGTGCCGTACTCACCAGTACGGGAGCCAGCACCCGCCGCAGCTGCCCCTCCAGATATGCCTTCATCTGCCCCGCAGCGGCATCTGTAATCGCAGGTGTAATTGCCGGGAGGGGCATCGTAGGGGGGTGGAGGTGTGTGTGTGTGCGTGTGTGTGTGCGTGTGTGTGTGTGCGTGTGTTTGTGTGCGTGTGTGTGTGTGCGTGTGTGTACGTGTGTGTGTGCGTGTGTGTATATGTGCGTGTGTGTATATGTGCGTGTATGTGTGTGCGTGTATGTGTGTGCGTGCATGTGCGTGCATGTGTGTGTGTATGTGTGTGTATATGTATGACATTCCCCGCTCCCCCTCACCCTTCTTGGCTCTGATGCCCTCAGCCTCCCGCCGCTTGGCCGCCACAACACCCATCCGTTTCACGTGCTCGGGGCTCTCAAGTACGGCAACCAGCTCACGATACCGCTGGTCCGTGTACGACGCAAGGCGATACAGGACCTGTGGACGAGCCGTCCGAGCATGGAGCCCGGCGCAAGGGGATGTCCTTGTGTGTGTGTGTGTGTATGTATGTGTGTGCGTGTGTGAAGAGAGAGGGGCACAAATCTTTGAAGGCATGAACTCGTCATATCGCCTTTCATACCCACCACCACACTACAGTGCTGACCACAGCGAAAAGTTAGCACACACGCGCAGTCTTTGAGCTTTGCAAAAAATTATTATTCAAAACAACAATGCCTATTTGTGATGTAACGAACCATCAACACGGTACGCGCGGGCGGGTATCCAAAAGATACATGCAAGCTGTGAACCAGACGGCAGAAGACCAAAAGTACAACAGGTCGTACAACCGGTCATTTCTCGTATAAGCGCATTGCTTCCCAACCTGCTCGTCCCATTAACCCAAGCCGTACATCACGGCACCTGTCACGGGATCTCCGTACGTACCTTGCACGCAGCCTGGCTCTCCCAGGAAGCAGCCGCCGCCGCCGCCGCCGCCGCTGTCCCCACCATATCCGACCCGCCGCTGCCCCCATCTTGCCGTCCTTCTAGCGCCTGTACGGCAATATCTGCTGCTCGTCCCATCAAACCCATCACGCCGCCGTACGCCCCGCATTCGACCTGCGCCTCCGCACACCAAGCGCCCGCCAGAGACAACGTCGTCGCTAGTTGCAACATGCCGCCACTACCGCCGCCGCTACTGCCGTACTTGCCCGCCGCTGCTATAGCCGCCGACTGCTGTTGCTCCAGCTCCGAAACCAACGCGAGTGCCATATGAGCCGCCAGTGTCGTTTGGCCGCGATGCCGTACGAGCCGCGCCTCGTCCAGGCGCCAGGATGCCGCGACTCCGTAACGCATGTCACCGACCCACGGGTCTGTTGCCGGCTGGCAGGCAAGCAGCATCCTGAGCTCCTAGCCGAGCACAAATAAATGGACAGGTAGATAGATAAGGCATGTAGATAGATAGATAGATAGATGGATAGATAGGTAGATAGATAGATAGATAGATAGATAGATAGACTCACAGATACGTAGATAGATAGATAGATAGATAGATAGATAGATAGATAGATAGATAGATAGATAGATAGATAGATAGATAGATAGATAGATAGATAGATAGATAGATAGATAGATACGTGGGCACACATGTGTACGGGAGTGTACGGCACCAAGCGAAAAGAGAGGATGGGGGATTTGGTCCACAGTCGGGAGGGGCTCCGATTGCCGTGCGGGGGGAGGTGCGGGAGAGCGACTTAGTGGGAGTGACCGGACACCGCGGTGGTCGGTCCCCACCTGTACCGCAGCAAGCCCCGCCGCCGTTGCGCCGCGCCGCCGCGCCGCCGCCACCGCCGCCGCCAGCGCCGCCGCCTGCTCCCGTCGCAGACCCGCCGCTGCCAACGCGGCGCAACGTAACGCCAGCAACGGCTCCAGCGCCGCCGCCTGCTCCAGATCACCGCCGCCGCCGCCACCAGTGCCGCCGCCAGGCAACAGTATCGTGCCCGCGGCCGCCGCCACCGCCGCCACCGGCGGCGCCGCTGCCCCCACCAGCTGACTCGCAACTCTGAGTGCCGACAGCATCCGCAGTTCGACGAGGCAGCTGACGGTGCCGCCGCCATAGCTTCCGTACGTTTCGCCGCCGCCGCCGCCATTGCCGGCGGGGCCCATTTTCGCCGCCAGCCGACACACGGCAGCATGCGACGCGGCGGAAAGCAATGCGTCCGCCTTTTGGGACAGACGACACACAGCAACAGGCAACGGACAATTCCTATCACTCTACCACTTTTCACATGAACGCTGGTTCGTATGTATGTGCGTATGGAAACAGGTGTCACGTTTGGAGGGGCGACAGTTGGGAGTTAGGAGGTGATCACGGTCATACCTGCACCCGGTCTTCGGCGACCAGGGCGGCCAGTGTACGGTAAACTGCCTCGTGGAAGCCGCCGCCGCTACCGCTGGGGATGGCGGTACCGCCGCCGCCGCCGCCAGCGCTTCGCATGGCGGTTAGGCCAACTGCCGCCGCCGCCGTCGGCGGTGGCGGCAGCGACGGCGGCCGCGCTTCCTGTTGCGTTTGAGGGGCCCAGACGGCAAGCCGCCAACTCAGCTCGTACTGCAGCTCTGGCAGTGGTGTTGCGGCGGCGGCGGCGGCACAGCCGCCGCCACCGGCGCTGCTGCCGTCTGGAAGGCCGCCGCCGCCAACGCCGGTGGCCGCCAGGCCAGCCAGGAAGTACTGCGCTGTGACGTCGCCGCCAAGGTTTCGGAGCGCCGACACGATGCCAGCAGCAGCACCTGCGGCTGTAACAGATGACGCCGCACCACATCCGCTGCCAGCGGTGCCGTACAGCGGTCCTGCTACAGCCATCGTTGACGGCCGCAGCTGCAGGTCGCGGCCCGCCAAGGCTTGGGGCCACATACCCTCCAGCTCGAAGAGATGCATGGACAAAAGGTGTCCCTGGGGATGCCCGCCGCCGTTGCCGCCGCCGCCGCCGCCGCCGCCACCGCCGCCGCCAACATCGCCGCCGCCGCCGCCATTACCGATGAGCATGTACGTCGACGGAAGCGCGTACAGCGCATCTGGATCGTCAATGGCGCCGTATGCATCCAGTACGACCGATAGCGCGTCTGTACGGTGAGCATGTACGGCGACGGCAGTTCAAAAAACGACTCAGACGGCGGAAGAAAAGAACTCGGTTTCCGCTGGTGGTGGCGTTAGTCGCGGAGTCATGGCAGCAAGCAGAGAAGGTCGGTAGGTCAGCTGCAGATACGGATTATTATTTTGGACTCTTCCGCGGGTGGGTGGTGACAGGGTTTTTTTCCACCTACCCACCCACCTACCAGCTGTTCCTGGTGGGGGTTGTGGTCGGCACAGCGGCAGCACCTGAAGAGCCGAATGGACTCCGCCCTGCGACAGCACTCGCAGCAGTCACAGCAGCAATCGCAGTCGCAGCAGCAGCAGCAGCTGTAGCCGTAGCAGCAGTAGCAGTAGCAATAGCTGCAGGAGTCGCAGCAGTAGCCGTAGCAGCAGTAGCGGTACGTAATAGCAGTAGCGGTTACACACACACCGTGCGGAGAGCGATCCGGGTCGGGGAAGTAAGGTGGGTAGGAGCACCGCCAACGAGAGCATCAAAGCCGTCAAAATGCCACAATGCCCCTTTCCCCCCGCCCCCTCCCCTCTCTCCCCCCACACACATACATACATACTTGCACCGCCGCGTTCTCAAAGGGCGTCTTCCGCGGTGCCGACCCCTGCCCCGGCTGTACGGGAGATGACGGCGCCGCCGTACCGCCGCCGCCGCCGCCGCCACGATGCTTCGAACCGCCCTGCCGCCCGCCGCCTCCTCCTTTGCCTTGCCCCGCCGCCGCCCTCTCCTCCGCCTGCTCCCTGTCAGCATGCACTCTGTGCGCCAGCCGTACCGCCGCCGCCGCCTTCTCCGACCAGTGGGTGACGTACAGCAGAGCGGTGGCGGGCTGGCGGCAGCGGATGGCGGCCTGGCTAGGAGGCGTGTGTGTGTATGTATGTGTGTGTATGGAACGGGGTGGGGTTGGAGAGGAGCGAGCGAGCAAGCCACACAGACAGACAGACAGACAGACAGACATATGGAAGAAGAGAAGTACAGGGAAGTCAAAAGCCCCCCGTATCACCCTTCTCCTATAGGGCCCTCTTCTACGCGCAAAACTTAATAGTGAGCTAAAATGCACGGCAATAGTGCAGTAGAATATAAGCGGTGTCGCTCCTTAGTTGAAGAATAATAGCTTTATTTAACTGAAGTAAAACAAACCGGGAAATTTGTACGGCAACCTGTACTGCGGCCCCCTACCGCCGCCACTGCCGCTCTTCCTTACCCGCGCAACGACCAGGTAGTCAATCTCCAGGCCGTACACAAACTCCCAACCGTCAACCGCCGAGTCCAATTCCCCGCGGCCACCGCCACCACCAACTGCAGCCGCAGACCCCCCCCGGGTGCTGTGGACCTGCCCGGGGGGCTTTCGCTCCGAAACCACACGTCGGTGCAGCCGCCGCAGATGCTCCAGGGAGCGCAGTACAATCTGTACGGCGCGAAGGTCACCACAGATCATAGCGTCATCATTTCCGGCATCATCATCATCATCGTCGCCGTCGTTCCTCCCACAACCGCGCATTGTGAAGTGCTGCTGCTGCTGCTGCTGGTGCTGCTGTTGTAGCGCCTGTTGCGGTGGCTGTAGTGCCTGTTGTTGCCTGTGCGGTAGCAGACTCTGAATTTGCTTTCGGCGGTTAGGAGGCTGTTGCGGCTGTAGCGGCCCGAGCACGTGCCGTTCCATTTGGCGGCCTAAGGCGCTGAGCAGGGAAGCGTTTCGAGGGGGCCCCCCGGCCCCGGCGGCCGCCGCCACGGCTAAGTGCTGGAGCAGGGCCGGAAAGAGCGCCTCACAAACCTCGGATTGGAGCCGGGCCTGTGCAGCCAGCAACACAACACAAACAACACAACACAACACAATGGGAGGAGGAGGAGGGGCGGGTCAGGAGAGGGAGAGGGGCGGAGGGGGGTCGTTGAAAACACCTGTTTAATAATTGCGGGCAAGCTGTCGGCTGTCGGCTGTCGGCTGTATAACGAACGCCCAATATCGTCCATTGAAAGGTTTTGCGTGTGCGTGTCTCTCGTACAGTACGACAAACAGTCTTTTTTCAACTATCAAAAAAGCGTAAACGCTATTTATACACATACTTATTGGCTTCTAATAATAACGCCAAGAGGAAAAAAGAGATATCGCGCTGAGTCGCTTTGACACCTCCACGCCTCACCAAGCCGCGCATGAGTTTTAGCGCCGGGTCCGTGACCAGCTCCAGAAGCGAGGGTGTCAGGCGGCGGAGCCAGGCGTCCGCACCGCCGGCGGCAGCAGCCGGAACCCGCCACAGCCGCTCCGAAACCACACCAGACTTGAAAGAGAGAAGCTCATCCAGGTTGACAGAGTCACCGCCATTGTTGCCGCCACTGCCGCCGCCGCCGCCGCCGCCGCCAGCGGCCCCGGACTTGTCGTCGGCGTTACCGCCGGCACCTGCGGCGGTGCCTACGCCCTTCTCCTGCTGCTGCTGCTGTCTCTGTAACGCTGATGCTGATGATGATGATGAGGACTGCAGGAAAAGACAGTTTCAGAGAAGCCGCACAGTAAACCGTAGTACGACAGGAAACATGACGCGCCTTCGTACTTCAAGGGTATTTTTTTATTACTCAAGACTCTCTCGCACCGTGTGTTGGGCGCAACGCAATCTCCCTTTTTGGGCCAACATTCGAGTTGTTTGTTGATATTAAGGTCCCCCGAGTCGACCTCCCAGGGCACCTCAAAAGGTTTTCCCAGGCCCTAACTAACCTAACCAACCTAACCAACTAAACCCGATCTCCATACCAAATAGATTCGCAGATGCCGGTGTGTGTGACTGTCAGTTCCCATGCCGTTCAGAGCGTCTCTCCCCGCCGGCAGAGCGAGCAGCTGGAGAGCCGTGGACTGGCACTCCACAATGAGCTGTGCGTTTTAAAGGGGGTTTTAGGGTTTTAAATTGGGTTTTAGTTTTACCATTTTCCGGTTTTAGGTAGGTTTCGCTCTTCGTTGGGCAACTCAGCACACAAGCCCCCTCTCCCAATAGATGGCGGATTCTTCGTACAGATGTGTCTAGAACACTCTTTAGAGGTTAAAGATGACGGGAAAGTTGCATGTTGAAGGGACAGCTAAACCCGTAGGGCTACCGGGATTATGTACGACATCTGTTCGAAATCATTGTATGACGGTTGGTGTAGTCGTACCATGGGGTCATCAGACACCAGGTACCGCTCCGCCATGAGCCTCAGCACTGAAACCAACCAACTGTCACCGTTCCCCCCGTCGCCGCCGCCGTCGCCGCCGCCGCCGCCGGGTTCTGTTGAACTGGTGGCGGTGGCGGTGGCGGCTCCGCCGGCGTCTCCCGCTGCGGCGGCGCTACTTCGCCGCAAGGCTCGACGGCCACCGCCGTTGGCGCCGGCAGTGGCGGCGGTGGCCGCCGATGCTGGCGCTGCTGCTGCTCCAGCTGTACGGCGACTAGCCCGGCCCGCTGCCGTACCACCGGTGACTGCTGCGGTGCCCGCTGCCGGTGACATGGGTCCCGTTCCCGGCGGGCCTGAGCTCGCGAAGTGGCCTCTGCTGTTGCCTCCCCCTGATCGTATTTCGGATCCTGATCAGGCAATGCCGTACATGCATGGGCAGTGATAACAACCGCGGGGTGATAGGAAGTCGCGATGGAGACTTACAGACAGACAGACATGCACGGGCACTCATGGCACTCATATCCAGTCAGGGCGGCGCATCTAGTGGCCGCCGTGCCCCGTGTGTCGATGCCTATGTGTCTATGTATGTACGTATGTATGTCCACCTATGAAACGGGAAAATAGTTAGGATGTACTACTGCCCGGGAGAGTCGTACAAGTGTGCTCGTTGCTAAGTTGCTAAGAAGGTTGACAACTGATGTTTACCTGTCGTACAGTGGCGGGATGGTGATGGTGTCGTACTCACAGAACGGAAACGTAGATCCGGATTAAACGTAGACCAATAGTACATCCTTGTCGTACGATACACAAATACATACATACTACCTACACAGTACTACTGAAAGCTATCCATTACATGAAGACTCTTCTTCGCCTCCGGCATATATCAACTATTACGTAATTCGACATTTATATTTAAAAAACTCCACGAATTCGTAGTTTCACGTGTTGCTCCACCGTACCGTACCAATCGTGTCGTACCCAGAGTCGTACGACCTACACCTGGCACGCCATGTTCCCTGCCGTACCTTCCGCCGTCAGTCCCCGTGGCGGCGGCGGCGCGCGAGGGTCTCGGAGCCCCGCCGCCGCCAGCAGCCTCCCCGCCAGCTCGCTTAGTGCCGTATCGTCAAGCTCCGCCGCCGCCGCCGCCAGCTCCCAGGCACTGGCGGCGGCGGCGGCGGTCAGGTCCCCGTCACCGCTTCCGGTGGTCGGGCCGGCGGCATCCGACACCGGCAACAGCTCGGACCACCTTCCGTACAGCATACGGAAATGCAAAGAATTTGTGGGATTAGAGGCCTCTAATCCCCATCAACTGGACAACAAAGCTCATATACATATCCGACGTACGACAGACGTACGACACACTGACGTCCCTGAGCAGCTCACCTGGCCTCGACATCCTTGCGAACCGCCGTCACAAGCCTCGCCCGCGCGCTGGCGCCTAGGCCGCCGCCTCCGCCTCCGCCACCGAAGCTGCCCCTCCCTCCCCGTCGCAGCACAGAGGCCAGGTGTGCGAGCTGCTCGGGGAGAGCCACTCGAGCTCGGAGCCGCTGCGGCATTGAGGCGGCGTTGAACGACATACATTCATACATACATGCATACATGCGTACATGTATACGTACTCTGTTCATACTATTTCACATCAAAACTATAACTACGTAGGCTCTGGTACCTGCTGCAACTCGACAGCATCGCGAAGCTCCGGAAGCTCCGGAAGCAACCGACAAAGCGCCAAACCCGCCGCCACCTCCGGCGGCAACCCAAGGGTCACCCGAAGCAGCAGCCCCACCAGCGCCGGCCTCCCCGCCCGTACCACTGCCGTACGCTCGTCCAACCCCGTCATTGGACTGTACTCCGTCGCGTCGGCAAACGCCTGCAGGCAAGGATCCAGACCGCCAGCGGCGGCGGCGGCGGCGGCGGCAGCGGCGCTGTTGCTGCTGGCGCTGGCCGACGGCACCTCCGCCGCCTCCAGCGCCTCCGCCAGCGCCGAAACCAGCGGCGGCAGCAGCTCACTAAGAACCGCCTGGCGATCGGCTTCATTGACCGTCGTCGCTGTCGCCGGCGCCGGCGCCAATGACCCGTGGGTCGCTGGCGACGTTGGTGCCGTCAGCTCCCGCAGGCCCATGGTTCCCAGCAGGCGGTGCAGCAGGTCGCAGGAGTGCAGCTGCAGGGTGGGCTCTGAGAGCTGCTGCATGAGGATGTGGGCCAAGTACCTGGGTGGGTGGGCGGGGGTGAACAACACAGGGGGGCGAGGGGGAGGTGGGTGGGCAGTGTAACACATGGGGGCGAGGGGGAGGTGGGTGGGCAGTTGAACACATGGGGGCGACGGAGGTGGGGGGGGTTGGGGGGGGGGGAAGCAAGGCCGACGAGGAAGGTGAAGTGGGGTTGGCCCTGGCGTTGTCCCTAGACGGGCGGGCCTCATCCTTGAAGGCGAAGGTGAAACAGACAATGAGATCTCAAAGGGGAGTTGTGGGTGGGCTGATGTAGCTGTCCAGCAGCTTTGAGTATTAAAGATAATCAAACATTTAGATTTTAGGGTGCAACCCTTTAGGGTGCAAGGGTTTTACTAAAACCCTAAAACCCTAAAACCCTAAACCCCTAAAAAAAAGATTCCTCTGAGCTCCAGAGCGAAACCTGCCCACCTGCCAGTCGCTGGCTCGGCCGCCCTAGGACCCAGCAGCCGCAGCAGGGCACCCAGGCCCGCGATCCGCCAGGCTCGGTGCCGCGGTGCCGCTGCCGTACTGGTAGTACGGCACTCTCCGCCGCCACTGCCGCCATGGCTACCGCCGCCCGACATGGATTCATGCAGCGCCGCCGCCGCCCAGGCCACGCTGTACGGCGGCAGTAGCGACGTCCACAAGAACTCCTCGTTGCTCTCCAGTGTGGGGAGCCCGGGGATATCCAGTACGGCCTTACAACAGGTCTGCGAATAACGACATTGTCGTACATGTGTCGTATATGGGTTTGATCTTGGAGGATAGGGAGAAGCCCAAATCTAAAAATCGATTCAAATGGTAAGAAATACATTTTTTGATTCTCTAATCCCACATTTTTTTAGTCAAACACCTTATACCACAACATAACATGAAACCCTCGGGTGCAAAGCTTATCCAAACATAAACCCCTCTCCTGATTTCAATGCGTCATGTGAAGCATCAGAAATATAGATACATTACGTAAAGCATGACAATACCGTACGGTGTTCAGGAACACCCGTAATGTGCCGTTAAGACCTTAAAATATCTCAATTCTATTTTAAACCGGCACATACCGGTGGCCTCACAAACCAAACCCGCCGCCGACCCGCCTGGAACGCACCTCCGCGCTGAACGTCGGCAGCACTGGCAGCCCGGGTACCCCTCCCCCCCCCAGCTCCCCTTCATGTCCCGCTGCTGCTGCTGCTGCTGCCACCTCCTCATCAGGCACCACGTCCAGGAGCATGTTGGCGAGGAAGAGGTACGTCCTGCGATGGGTACCTGGGCCTTACACATGCGGCTCTTATGGGTGGGCGGGTGTAACTTAGGGTAACGTAGGGTAACTTAGGGGCTTTTAACAGAGGGCTTGCTTGCTGCTGAGTTTACTTGGGAGCACGCGGCTTTTTTCTAAAGTGTAGGAAATGGGTTTTAGCCGCGTACCGGTTGCTGAGTTGCCGGTCCACGTCAGCCTCCACGTCCAGGTTGCCGCTCACTAAGGAGTTCCGAACCACCTCGTCAAGCCACCGACCTTGACCCGCGGCTTGAAGCAGCAGCAACGTGCCAAATATGTACGGCACATGCTCGGACAGCAGCGCGGGGAGCTGTGCCGTACATATAAGGCGTGGGATGACGATGCGGAAAATATAGGTCAGCGACGTGTGTGTATGTGTGCATGTATGTGTGTGTTTGGCGGGGTTTACGAGAGGGGGCGGGAAGGGGTAGGGAAGGGCAAGTTACCACAAACAGAGGGTGTCGCCTGATTAGGATCCGCGGTCCATTGGCCCAGGCGGTAACCCCGGGGGGGGGGGGAGTTGGCAGGTCGGTAGGTCGGTAGGTACGTACGGAAGTCCGTACATCAACTCCTACCCCTTCCAGCTGTACCATTCCTCCCTGTCCACCATCCGCGCCGCCGCCACATGCGGGGGCTTCTCGCTACGGGGGCCGCCGGCGACCTCTTCGACCGAGCTCTTAAAGATTTACTATTTATCAAACCCGCAGATGCCGCACCTGACTTTTATTTGCCGTGTGTGTTTCGTTACCCCCCCCCAACCCCAGGCAGGCAGTTTATTCGTCCCTCCTGGTTCCCAGAATGCCCGTACACCCGCTCTTATATCCGTACACGCGCTCTAATATCCGTACACCCGCTCTCATCTCCGTACACCCGCTCTCACCTTGACGCCGAGCAACGAGGCCACCAACTGAGCGGGTTGCTGCAAGTCGCCAATCACCAGAGGAAGCAACACACTGCCCTGGTTTCGGCGCAGGAAAATGACCCGTGGGTCAGTGGTGGTCGTGGTGGTTGTGGTGGTTGTGGCGGCACTGCCGTCACTGGTGCCGCTGCCACTGCCGACCCACGGGTCAACAGCCGCTGCTGCGCCGTCCACGAGAACTGGCGCCATAGCCAACAGCGTGTCCATGTCGTACAAGGTGAACCAGGACCAGGCGAGTGGCTGCCGTACAATGTCCCGATACCAAACCATACATGCAAGGGCGACATGGAACCAAGGGGAAATTTGTACGACACCGCGATGGTAAACATTGCACATAGATCAGCTTGTACGACATTGAACACGCTAGCGGGCTAGGCAAGGGAGGTGGCGATGGATGAAATGTAACTACGTATGCATGTACGTATGTATGTATGCCCTCCCCCTCATCATAAAGGGGCGGGGGAGCGCCAGAGGACCCCCGTCTGCCCGCATCTCCCCCCTCACTCACTCGCATCTCCCCCCTCACTCACTCGCATCTCCCCCCTCACTCACTCGCATCTCCCCCCTCACTCACTCGCATCTCCCCCCTCACTCACTCGCATCTCCCCCCTCACTCACTCGCATCTCCCCCCTCACTCACTCGCATCTCCCCCCTCACTCACTCGCATCTCCCCCTCACTCACTCGCATCTCCCCCCTCACTCACTCGCATCTCCCCCCTCACTCACTCGCATCTCCCCCCTCACTCACTCGCATCTCCCCCCTCACTCACTCGCATCTCCCCCCTCACTCACTCGCATCTCCCCCTCACTCACTCGCATCTCCCCCAGCACTCACTCGCATCTCCCCCCTCACTCACTCGCATCTCCCCCCTCACTCACTCGCATCTCCCCCCTCACTCACTCGCATCTCCCCCCTCACTCACTCGCATCTCCCCCCTCACTCACTCGCATCTCCCCCCTCACTCACTCGCATAATCGTCGCCAGGTAGTCCGCGGCAGTGCCGTACCCCAGCCTCGCAGCCGCCAGCCGCAAACAGCCCGCCACCAGCGCCTGGTCCCTCCGACACAGGGACCCATGGGCCAGTAGCCGCCGTACCACCACCACCTCCAACTTGGAGCTCAACTGCGGCGGGGATGGGGGGGAGGACAGCAGGCGGCGGGGAGGGGGGGGAGGGGAAATGGGTTGGAAAGGAGGCCCTGTGGAATGAGGATGAAGGGGAGGACGAAGCGAGGGGGGGGTGTCGTCCTTGTGGAGCGCGCGGGGAGTGTTGGGAGGGTCGGGAACATGACACCCCTTTCCAGGCGCCCCCGTACCCCGTCTCGACCCTATGAGGCTCAACGTAATGGGGGGGGGAGTGTTTCGGGTCTGAGTGGGCCGCATGGTGGTGTTAACACATACACACACACATACACATACACATACAAACATACACATACACACACACATACCTGGATGATTTCCCCGTACGCCAACATCGCTGTCTCAGTCAGGCTGCGGGATGACGGCGGCGGCACAGCGGCGGCCGCCGCAGTCGCCGCCGCTGCCGTACGCTCCGCAGCATCGCCCGCCAGCGGTGGCAAGTCGAGCTCCTCGAGCAACCTGTCGTGCGCTGTGAAGCGCCTAAACAGGATACGCGTCAGTACGGCACCTGCACGGCGAGCCCTGTACGACGGCTCTTGCCACGACGGCAACAACCGCAGGCTTCCGACCAGATCCGGCATGTCGTACTGGGCCATGCCTGCGATGTGTGACGTACACAGTCCAAGATACGTCAAAGGCCCGCATCATAGCTAGAATTCATGCGGTACACATTCCACGTACGTTGAGTACGGCATGGTACGGCGCCTTGTCGTACCTGGTGAGAATCGCGGCGTGTTTAACGGCAGCAGCTCCACTGTGAGTGCCGCCACAGCGGCGCGGAGCTGCCAGCTGTACGGCACAAAGTCGTTCGTGTTAAATGCCTCGTCCATTGCTTGTACGGCATCTCGAAGCACCTGAACGCCGCCGACCGCCAGCAGCTCGTCCAAGCCAGCGGCGTTGGCGGCGCCGTCGGCGCTGCGGGCGTTGCCGGATTTTCCAGCCATGAGGGCCGCCGCTGTCGTACCCAAACACCTCGCCAACCGCCGTAATTCAACCGCCGCAACCACCATTTGGTACTCAGTGACCTGTTTGCCGATAACTTTGTACGACAGAGTGCCAGCGGCTGTAGCACGCGGCTCGTCGTACTTTATGAAGCGGAGCGACAAGAGCCCCTGCTCTGGGCCCAGCGCGGTAAGTGCTACTGCCAGGGCAGTCCTGGCGGCAGCAGTGGCGGCGGCGGAGCCGCCGTCGCCGCCGCCTGCAGTACTGTTTGCCGCACTTCTTATTGCGCTGTCAGAGGACGCAATGCCAGTGCGGCCGCCGCTATCGCCGTCGCCAGCGTCGCTAGCGGCGACGGCAGCGGCAGCGGCTGCATCAGTGGCAAGGGCGATGGCGGCCGATACGGCAACGCGCGCCAGCGCCGCCATGAGCTCCTCCGGTGGCGGCGGCGGCGGCGGCGGCCGGCGCTGCGTGGCAACAGCACGGCGGGTGCTGGGAGCGCCGTACGCACTGCCGCCGCTGGCGACGGCGTCGTCGCCGCCGTCGCTGACGTCGTCCGGCTCCTCGATTTCATCATCGTCTACTTCCATGTACTCGTCGTCGCCGTCGTCGTCGTCTGTGCCGCCAGTACGGCGGCCGATTCGCTGCTGCCGCCGGCCTTGCGGCGTCTGATACTGCTGCTGCTGCGGCGGCGGCGGCGGCTGCTGACGGCGCTCCATTAGCACGCCAACGGTTCGTGCAACCACCTGGGACACCCCGCTGCCGTACAGAGGAGCAAAGGCCTGCGGGAGCCGCATGTCATTATGTTGGTTATGTGGACGGTTAAGTTGGTTGGTTGGGTGGTTGAGCAAATGTAAATCCCCTCGGCGTCAGTCGGCACGTGGACATCAGTTTTAGAGATAACGATTAAAACGACCTTTTAAAACCGCCTTGTACGGCTTGCCACCTCATTCTCATCCTGATTGACTTTTCCTTCCACCCCCACGACAACGAACGCCATCGCGGTGCGGCGAGCTAGTAACCGGCGCAATCAGAGCCAACGGCCAACTGAAGCAACGGACAATACAACTGATGCTGTGCAATCAATCCTACAGCTCTGCAACTGCGGCTACAGCTGCGATTGCAGCTACAAGTAGACAGTGGTGCGACCTGTCCTAGCCAGCTTGTTGTGTTTCATTTTTCTCCTTCTTGTGCAATTCAACTCGTACGGCGCGGGTGGCGCTGTTTTTCTTCACGTTCATATCGACTCCGTAAAACGTTTTTTCCTTACACCCCTGTGGCATTTCAGAAATTTCAGAAATTTCAGAAATTCCAGAATTCCAGAAATTTCAGAATATTTCGGAGTATTTCAGAATTTTCAGAATCCAGTGCTATGTATGTACGAAAGTCTAGTCACTAAAGGAAAGGAAAAAATTTTCATATGTGCAAAGTAAAACCCCCATATGGCCTTTTCTTTACCACATGGACAAGTACGGCGCCCGCCGTACACAGAGTACACACCTCCAGAAGCTCGACGGCACGCAACGCTGCCATCAGCGCTTGCTCGTACGGCGTTGCGGTGGTGCCGCTGGCCGCCATCACGGCAGCTGCCGTACCGGGCCCGGTCAGCATCTGCGTGGCGGCCGCTACACCGACAACCTGCGCCGCGCCGCCGCCAGCACCAGCACCGCCGCCGCCACCTCCTGCTGTACCTGCCGTACCTGCCGCGGCGACTGCGCCGCCGCCCAAACGGCTGCGCAGCACTGGCCGCCTCGTTACGCCACCAAAATCGTCATCATCATCGTCCTCCGCTCCGTGACCTCCGCCAGTCTGCGATACGACAAATGTACGATAAAGCGTACGGCAAGTGTTGTCCAGCCGTTACACTCAGCCCTCGCATATGTTTGGTCAAACTCCTATACACACACACACGCACACTCTAAGTCCTCCCTCCTCTACTCGGGCTCATTCGCTCTGAGTCACAACTACCACCTTCATGTCGCCCTAGGTAACTACAAGCATGCAACAGTAACAGGGCATGCGTACAACATACCCTGCCGTACAAGTGATCCACAGACTTACCTGCCACCCGTAGCCACCACCACTGCCGCCGCCGCCACCAATAGCAACCGCTGCCGACGTCGCCGCGGGATCCGCCACCCGGCGTAGCACACCCACTTGCCGTTGCAGTACGGCATCGACGGCCGCCACCGCCGCCGCCAGCATCGCCGTCGAGGGCTGTGTCTGCTGGGACGCCCGCTGGGAATCGATGGGGTGAGCTGGCTGCGGTACCGCCGCCGCCGTTAAGGCTCCCGGGGAAGCATGCCGTACGAGTACGTCGTACAGCGCCTGCCGCCAGACAATGCCGACGACAGGGGAGGGGTAAGGTATGAAACGTAGGTGGCTGGGGAAATTCCCATTGCCAAGACGGAACACGGGGCTTCGGGACGAAGCGCAATAAGCAATGCCGCCCCGCCCCGCCCCGCCCCGCCCCGCCCTGCCTGCATGCCACCGAGCAGGTGCGCCAATGAAGCTCGGAGTCCGCTGCCGGAGCCGCCGCCAAACCGACTGGCGCCGCCGCCGTTGCCAGCCGTACGCTGCGTTGCCGCCACTGCAGCCGCGCCGCCGAATCCGGCGCCGCTGCTACTGCCGCCTCCGCTGCTTTCCCCCAGGACCGGCCGAACCGCCGCAGCTACTGCCTTGCAAAGTACGTCCCAGGCCTGAGCTGGCGCCACAGTCTGAGCCGCCATCAGCTGCTGGTGTTGCTGTTGTTGTTGAGTCGACGGCGGTATCGACGACGGCGGTGGCGGTGACGGCGGCGGCTGTGGAGCACCAGGTGCAGCGGCAGCGCTGCTGCCGCCTTCGTCACACGGCTGTAGCGCTAGCCCATGCATAATCGCTGATAGCAGTAGCTGAGCACACCCCAGCAGCCGCGCTACCTCCACCTCCTCTCCCCCTCCAGATTCCGTCATGTCCAGTACGACATTTCGTGTACGACTGAGCGCCGCCGCTGCGATGCGGCTCAGGAGCCGCCTGCCGGCGGCTACAGCCTCAGTGCTAACTGCCGCCGTCGTCTTCGTTGGTGCACTGGCGGTGCTGCCGTACGGCGACCCATGGGTCTGGTAGTGACGAAAGGCGCGCTCTCGGGCCTCCTGCCACGCCATCACCTCCGTAGCACGGCGCTGTACGGCAAGGACGTTGCAGCAAAAGGCGATGGTCTCGGAGTCGGTTGGACACCACCGAGGCAGGCGAGTGTACGGATGAGTGTACTGATCTGGCGCCAAGTCCAGCGGCAGAGGCGGGAGCGGCGGCGGCGGCGGGGCCCCGGAGCTCCGCTTCTGTGGCGCCGCCATGTACGACGCCCCTGAGGTGGCGGCGAGCAGTGCATGCAGAAGCTCGTTAGGCGGTGTGATCGCAAGGCGGAGTACGGCAGTCATGCAGCTGGCGGCGGCCGCCTGGCAGGCGGCCGCGGCGGCCGCATCGGCTGCAGGTGCAGCGTTCAGCGCTGCGACGATGGTGGCGGCAGCCGCCTGCCAGATGTACGACCTGGCGGCCGGGCTGTCGGCGTCGGCCGCCGCCGCCGCCACCGTTCCCGTACAACCGCCGTCGCTAGCGGTTGTAGCGTCGACAGCTGCATCATCGGCCTGCAGGCTGCCTTGCATCACGTCCACTACGGTCCGCAACAGCCCCGGCGGCGCCTGTACGACGTACGACACGGCGCTAGTTTTCTGAAGCTGAAGCGCCGCCGCCAGCGCCCATAATGCCTCCGCCTGCAGCGCGTTTGGCAGACCTGGAGTTTGCGGTACGAGCAAGTTCCGGCCCGCCACCCGCGCCGTCAGAAACCCGACGACCTGTTGCCACGCCGCCGCCGCTGCCGCCGCCGCCGCCACGGCGTCTCGACTTTTTGCCGCCGTCGGCTCCGCCGTCCCCGGTGGCGGAGAAGCCGATGGCGACGCCGCCGAGGACGACGCCGACGCCGACCAGCCGCCACTGCTGCCGCCCGCCGCCGGCGCCGCCGGCACCGTAAAGCCGCAGCCAAAGAAACGTGACCCATGGGTCACCATACTGGTCGCATACACGTTTTGCTGCGCCAATACCTCCAGACATCGCAGGCACCAAACCGCACCAAGTTGCTTAACCGCTAAATCATGCGGACGCAACAGCGAAGCGGCGGCGGCGGCGGCGGCGGCTGCTCCTCCGCCACCGTCCGTACCGTGCCCACCGGCGGCGAAGGGTAGCAGAACACGCAGGCAGGCATAGACCTGAGGCACGGATTGGTTGCCGTACAAGGAGGGGACTCAGCGTGAAGGTCGCGGCGGCGGTGAAGATCGTCTTGGTGAGGAAGGGAATGATCGGGTGGAGCACCACGAAGGTCAGGTGTTTTAGTACGACACGCCAGTTCTTACGTGTATGACGTACGCATCCGTTCGCCCACGCCTGCACATCCTGTAAGCCCCTTTCCCCCTTTCCCCCGTCTCTTCCCCAGGGGCCCCCAGCCCGCCCCTCCCTAGAGGCGCTGTTTCATTCCCCCTCTCTTGAGCCTCCATCTCCCCGACCCTAAGTCCACTCCCACACACCCCTCCAAAACCATTCAGTTGTATAGTTTACCATCGGCAGTTGACGGTTAGTTTTGTACAATAGCCAACGCCCAACTGCCTTTCGTCGTAGCCATAGCTTCGTTCTTCTGTTCCCCCCTACCCTCGTAACCAACTACCTGTGTTCTTTTCGTTTCACGTATACCACACCACCGCAATACCGCCCCTCTCCCTCCTCTCCCTCCCCCTCTCCTCTCCCTC